CAAACCTTTTTCCATGTCCATTTGGAAAGCTTGAGTTTCATCCATTTGCAGCTCTGCAGTCAGGGCACAGCAGGGGTTCTTTGTCAGGAGAGTTCTTCTCTCCAGTCTGGCTCCATAAGTTCTGAAACTCAACAGAAATGTGTTGCAAAAGGTCTGTTTTTGCAGCAGTTTGGTTCTGAAAGGTTCTGACCTATCCTTGATGGTTCTGGGGATCTGGTTCCAGCTTTGAGCGTATGAGCAGAAGAGACCAGGAGCAGAAGGAGGCAAAAGAGGCAGAAACTTGTGTGCTCTGTGATTTTGTCTGTCCTCAGACAGAGGTAGGGTGGTGGTTTTTGGTCACACCTCTGTGACTTGCCTGTGGAGGCCTTGGCTAAAACGGGGATTATTGCAGAGATTCCACAGCTGATTCCACATCATTATGTCAACATGAAATATGGACACTGGTTCCCAATGTCCAAAAGTATGATCATGGCATATGGCGCAACACTTTTGTAAGGAACTGAGACACAAATAACTTCACAAGTAAGTATTTACATAAAGTAAAACTTTGACTGCACAACTACTCTTTTATTTACTGAAACTTCTTTTAAAATGCACACAAATAAAGAAAGGTCAAACAAAACATAGAACTGTCTCACCACAAGAAGGGTTCAAAAACACTTGCTTATTTCAAAGAGTTTCGTTCGATCTTTTTGTTCTTCAATGAGGCTCGCACAGTGCCAGAGTGGGTAGCAATGCTGTCTTGCAGCAAGAAGGTTCCAGGTTTGATTCCTGACCTGGGGTCTTTTTGCATGGAGTTTGCATTTTCTCCCTGTGCATTCTCTCCGGGTACTGTGACTTCCTCCCTCATTCCAAAAATGATTATTGTTAGGTTAATTGGCTTTTCTAAATTCCCCTTAGCTGTGATTATGTGCGTTTGTCCTGTTTGTTCCTGTGTTGCCCTGGGAAGGACTGGTGACCTTTCCAGGATGTATTCTGCCTCTCGCCCATTGACAGGTGGGCACCAGCACCCCTTGCCACCTCAGCAGGGATAAGTGTGACAGAAAATGGATGGATGGATGCTCTTCGATGAGACTAGTAAGCAATTAACTGAGAAATTAGCAGGCAACCATGTAGATACATTAACTTGTTACTGGACGCACTGATATCTGATTGGTCAGGGATCGTTTTCTAACATTTGTAATGGTCAAGTATTCACCAGCAGCAATGTAGATGAACTCACCTTGCAGCCCTCACAGGCGTGAACTCCGTAGTGATACCCTGATGCTCGGTCAGAACACACGCGACACTCCAGATTGAGTGACGAAGAGGAAGATGAGAGCTCCTCCTGGGTTGCAGCCATGCCGAAAAGAGAGGACGGGCTTGACGCTGGTGTCAGAGCATCTGTATAACACAAACAGTAAATGTGTTACCGCATTACAGCACAGATGCAAGAAGATTTTTCAATGAATAGTGCAGTTTCTACCGCATTTACCAACATGCCTGCAGGTCATTAAAGATGTGTTAGACAACAAGATCTTCAGCAGTTAACATGAAGGCTTTTGAGAAAAGGCTTTGAATCCTGAGGTTGTGAGTTCGATCCCCCACTCCTACAGACTGCCACTCTGGCTCCCTGAGCAAGTACCCTAACCCCACACTGCTCCCCGGGCGCCGCACAGTTGCAGCCCACTGCTCCCCAAGGGGAGGGGTTAAATGCAGAGAAGTAAATTCCCTTTGGGATTATTAGAGTATATAAAATACTAACATTCTTTTTTATATAAATAAAATAACCCATTTTACATAACATTGTCGTCTCTGATGAGGCCCACCACTGTGGTGTCGTCTGCAAACTTCACGATGTGATTGGTGGTGAACCTGGGGACGCAGTCGTGTGTCATCAAGTTGAACAGCCCATCAGATGCTGTGGGATGATGGTGTTGAAAGCTGAACTGAAGTCCAGGAACAGCATCCGCAC